ATCGTAAGTGAATAACCGCTTTAAATTGAGGCAAATTACGCAAATTTCATGTTTCGTGCTCCGTTTCATGAAAAATTTTTCCGAATTTTACCTCTAAAAATGACTTTCTAGAGTATGATGTCTACAAGAGCTTCACGATATTAATATTCTATTGGTAATGGAACACATCAAGAAAATAGTAGAAAAATGTATTTATTTTAATCGTCTCATCACTTACTGCATTCTTTCTTTACATGAACTTTTTTAAAATTTGAATAAATCAGAGCATTGTCTGTTTCGATTGATGAGCAAAAAGCTTTTGAGTTACGAAATGTAGGAGACTGATCTACAATGTATAAATGATTTAACTTGATAGCACCCTGAATTAGATTTCATATTAAACAAAAATTTAATAACTTTTCAATACGAGGAAGAAACGTTTGTTTGACACTAAGTACAAAATCTAGAGTTAACATGCAAAATTAATATCTACAAAGAGCCGCACATACAATTGTCTCAAAAATTAAATTGTTCACGTTATTTTTGATGTTGTATCGAAATTTAAGATAAAATTAAGGAAAATTAAATTTCTTAAAGACCTAATACTAACATTTACACTTTGCAGTTTTATTTAAGTGACTGTAGGGTAACATATAAATTGTTCAAGCATATGGTAAAAAATAAATACTAATCCGTAGGAAAGTTGGCCAAACAGTGCAAACGTTATCTCGGCAATCATATGCATACGCAAGAGTGAGCACGATAAATCAAAAGGTTCGATTTGAATTCCTCAGTGACATCACTCAATTATTATCTATCGATTCTAATATGCTACATTTACGTCGATTTTCTCCTTTGCACAAGAAACGCAACCATGCATTAATAAAATGCTTACCACTGATACATATACAATATATATTTCGATCAAGCTATTGCGCCAATTATATCTTACGCACACACACCTATGTCAATCCAAGCAAAAATCTTTGTACGTATACACCAATATACACATGCATCTAATTTCCATGTGCGACGGGGCTTGGTAATGCTCTCAGGCTAGTAGCCGTGTATCGTACAGTGATGGTATAGCAAAGCGAGTGTGGTTGAATCGATTTGTGCGAAGAAAATGCAAATCTAGTCTGCCAAGCTGGTGAAAGTACTAAACAGGTAACTGAATATATAAGTCTCAATAATAATAATAATTGTAATAATAATAATAATTATTATTATAATAATAATCAAGTGCGTTTCAAGTGCGTCTGACTCTAGTTACAGAAAAGTAATACAAACATACTATAAAATAAGCGTTTTCTCAAATGATAACAAAGTCGTGAATGTTGTAAGAGATGTACCAGAGATTAAAAATACTAAGTAGAGCAGGACAATAATTTTAATAAACAGAGAGAAACTTGTATAAAAAAGGCAGTCACATTATAGGTATGGATTTTTTAATAATCGGAGTGAAACCTTTATCACCATGGTACAGTCCAAACATATATTGAGAAGTTTTACAGGAGGCACAACGCAAGGTTTTTATGAACTGCTCTTTTCATCAGATCAAACTTAGTTTGCATTTAGGTAGAACAAACAGCGGAGCAGTAGATAATAATCGGGAATACAAGAGATTTAAAGAAGTAAATCATTGATTTTGATTCACGAAAGTCACAGGTAGCTTGAAATATACAGCCAATAATACGTTAACATTTATATATAATCTTGGTGATACCCAGATCAGTAAAAGTAGAAACTCTGTAGGTGATTACAGACTTAGCAGTTACAAATGATGGGAGGCGATGAGTTGGTATACAATGAGGTAGCATATTCGGAAGGAGAGAGATGGATTCCAATTGATAAAGCCTAAAGTACAATTTTGGTTAAATCCAATTCAAGAATTAATGCATCAGCTATTAAGCTTTTTTAAGAAAATATTTTGACAATTGCTAGAAATAAAAGATACGATGATTGCGAGATGATTGCCGGTAAGTCGTAGACAACGATCAGAAATAGCAATGGACCAAGATGTAAACTATTATTAAAAAAGCATATCAGATACATATCCCACAGATATAAGAAGCCATTCAATAGTTTTCTTTTTTTTTTCTTTTTTTTTTTTACCGCGACAGCTTTTAGGCCGAATCGCCAGGGCCATCCACTCACTACCTATGTGTGGGGGTATATTGCCGCATCCATTTCCAACCCTTTTACTGATATTATGTACCTAATCCTTGGGCACAGTGCGAGTATCTCCGGTGTACCACCTTGCCAGTTAAGCTGATACTCTTTTCACCAACGGTGCATTGGGTCCAATCGCCACTGTATAGCCTTTCCCCGGAGAGGACTGCATATTTCAGAACGTCCACTTCTTGCCGATTAAGCCGACGCTCTCTGCCCAAGCATCAGATCCAGGCTAATTATAATCCCCGGAGAAGTCCCATAAGCCATTAAATATGATTTTATAATATTATTTTATTTTATCATTAATATAATATAGGTATATAACTGCTATTAATATCATAAATAATAGAAAAATACAGGACATCATGCAAGGGACGTGCTTCTTAACCAGCACCAAAACACTAAAAATTTATTAACGTTAAGTTTTAAATATAAATTCGTAGTGACTTGTTCATTGTTTTGATGAATCACATGCTAATAATGGTTCTGACATAAAATTGCTAAAGAATCTTTAATCGTATCGATAGCAAAAACGTATATGTATAAGAATAAATACATCATCTTCAATGATTCTTTACGAGCTAACTAAAATTTCCATTTAAAACTCCAACACTAACTATTGAAAGTATTAAATGAAATTTTTTTTTTAATGAGTTGCAAGCCAAATTTATTTTAGCAATAGCCAACTATCAAGTCAATAGATTTGTATAAACTTATGATGTTTTTGGTGTTTGAATCATAAAAAAAATTTTTTTTTAAATATAAATTCAATGTTTAGTGATATCGATTAGCAAAAATAAATATAAGCAAGTAAAATTAAGTTACATAACATTTTCATGATGTTTTACAGGTAAATAATAAATTTTGTGGTAAAATTTTTTCGTCGTTCTTACAAACGACCCCTTTTTTCGTGTAAATAAACTTGAAATTTTATTTTTTTAATTACCATCATGAGCCATAGTGAAATATTAATTTATTTCATAAAAACTACATTATAATCTAACGAATATAATGGCTTCAAATTATTGAAATCCTTTTATTTGCTTTAAAGTCTTGATTATGTTGAAATTATAGCTGTATACTTCAAAGAGGAGGATGTGCCAATATTGACATAATTCTCCATATTTGTTGAACTTGCAACTTTAATCCATCCTTGACCTTTGACTTATATAAAGTTCTGAATATCTCAAGGTAAATTTGTTTATTAACACATAAATTGATAATTGTACTGAATATACGATAAAAACACTGGAGGTCTTCTATTTCGTGTGATTTTTTAATTTTTTTCATTATGACAGAGGCACAATGTGACTGGGCAGTTACATTTAAAAAGTTAAGTATTTCTGTATTCGGTTTAAAGGTCATTCGAGCCTTAGCAAGATGCTTTACGTGCGAAAGTGGTACGTAAATATTTCTTCGACCACATATCCTTTAAAATGAATTTTATGTAATCATCATAGTATCGGTGTATAAAAAATATTAAACAATACGTCTGAGAATTAATACGATGATTTTTTACCACCTTAAGACAAGTATCTGGAGATTCCAACTTGTAATCACTATTTTGTTTAGATAAATCCATGACGATGATTTTAATATTAGAAGATTCGTACATAATTCGTTGAGATTTTTTAACATTTTTATTTTTTTTCAAACGGTAAACTTTTGTGGTAGTAATAAAAGTTGTTACAAAATTAATTTTTTATCACTTCTCGTATTATATTCATCAGAGGGTAAGAAAATTTCTTAGTTTTCATTGTTACCAGCGTTGCACTTTTAAATCTTAACTCTTTTGATAAAAAAGTCGTAATAAATTATGACTTTTAATATCTTATAACAACAAGCAACATTAAAGAAAGTTGCAATGAATAGTGGTATTACATAGATTAAAAATATTGTCTTCATCATGCGAATCTACTGGATGTTTGCACCCTTTCCTAAAAATGTATATAGTTAATATTAGAGGTGCATGATGTGAGTTATACAAAATTATTGTTACATACTGTAAGAACACGTATTAACTCCTGTGTGAGATGAAGTAAACTTGAGTCTGAAGTTACGTTAATTCCATTAGTCATAGCAAACTTGGAAGCTCTTACTCTGAATAGGATTGCTCTACCTTATACTTTGAAAAGATGATTGTAATAATTTAATACTTTTTTAATATTATTTATGAAATTGTTGTCACGAGTAGTAAGTCAGTAGTTGATTGCAAATGCTAAACACTATCCGAAAATTCCTTATTTTTTCATTCGCTGGTATAGTTTACCTTTTATTGCTGATTGGATGGAGTAATATAATATTTTAGTATTAGTTATGTATTAGTGTCAGGTGTATCGTGTATCAGATTCAGAACTCTAATTTATAAAAATAAGCCTATTTTAAAAGAAAACTGCATGGGTTAGAAAAGGGATGTTAACCAACCTTGCACTAAATCCTTGATACTATTTCATGAAAGAATATATTTTAGCACTATTACATACTCCTTTATGCTGAAGGCATTGCATTGATTTAGTTTCTGAGTAATATTGATGTCATCTATGCTAATACCTTAGTATTATTATATAAAACTGTCCTTCGGTAGTTAGGCTTAAATGAAAGTTTGAAGTAAATTCCGTTAAAACGAGCACTTTTTAATAAAGCTTTAAGTTGTTTATTCATAAAGTTGAGTAATTAATGAATGTTTGCTACTTAATTCTTTATTTTATGTATATAAAATATATATTTTTGTCAGGAACATTTACACAAAGTTGATTATAACATGATTGTATTTAATAATTTTGTGAACAAAATAATTACTAACAATTGGTTGACTCTTTTTTAATAAATAAACTTTTTTGTTACAGTTAGATGAGGGTAAACCGTCACTGGCACGAGTTAGAGGCTCGTCACGTTTTAGTTCCAGAAAATCTGGTACTTCAGAATCATCATCATCAGAGGCGACCCCAGCAAATTCAGATTCAAAAGCTACTACTAAAGCAACAAGATTTTCAACTACTCGCAAAGTCCCGTCCAAACGTTTTGGTGGACACACAACTGTAGCCTCTGCTGCTAGTGGAAGTGTTATCGGTGGTAGCACTGCTGCCGTGAACAAATCAAGTACAGACCACAGTCTTCCGAAGTCTCGAATTGAAGCTGCTCTTCAACGCCGTGCCGAGAAATTGAAAACAAATCCTCAGAAACCTCATCCTCATGGCTTAGTAAGAATACCCATTCGCAAAATAGGACAAAAAGGACAAACTCCAGAGCCAGAGAAGTCTACTACAAGTAGCAGTAGTATAGAAAGTACAGAAGAAGAGACGGAAGATAATGATAAAAAGTATTTGCCGGATAGTGAAGATGAAAAAAGTGCTAAGGAGGATGAAGATGTGGATGGCATCGAGGCCCCAAAAGGTAGTGAAGTCTCACGTGTGGGTGGCCGAGGAACAACTCGAGTTGCAGAAAGATCAAAATTAAGATCAGATAATAATGGGCCTGCATTAACAACATCAGTAGACAGTCGCTTAAGAACAGGTAGAAAAATTCAGAGTCAGACAGTACTATCCCCTAAACAGTTGAAAAGTAATGTTCCATCGAGCTCAAGGTTTTCAAAAGTCAAAACAAATGATGATTCTGAAGTAGAAGAGGTGACTGATGCTGTCGAAGCTGGGAGCATACGAAGAAGTTTTGAGGTTGAGGCACCAAATATTCACAAAAATACAGTTACTTATCAGAAACATGATATTGCAACCTCAGCATCGGAAAACATTCGAGTAAATATCCCTTTAAAATTTGAAGATTCTAAGAAACTAAGTAGTTCAAGTCACACTGATGATTTAATCAATGAACCATTAAAACGGCCTATCAACTTACGTTACAAAGGAAGAAGCAGGCAAACATTTGACGATGCAAAATTAGAAGTTGAAACATCATCAACCGAAAGTATTTCTACGCGTAGTTTATCTCGAAGGTTTAAAGGTTCTATAACAGCTGTAATCCATGAAAGCTCAACAAATTCTGTAACTGCACGAAGTCGAGGGCGGCCCTACGAAAGCAGAAAAAGCACTGTATCTGATATCAGTACATCAACTACTCCTAAGACTTCTAAAACAGATCTTAGAAGAAGAAACTTTTATCAAAAACCAACAACTAAGGGACTTGATACTTCTAAAGCTTATGATAACAATAAAGTATCTGAAATTAAAAGCCATAATATAGAAAGTAAGAAGCCTAGTAGACCTAGAGGAAGATATAAGGTTGCAGTGCCATCTACGGCCTCAATTACAACTACAAAGGGCTTGCCATCATCAAGTTCAACATATTTCAGTTCCACATTTCTTAATCCAACAATCTCAACAAATATGGGGATAATTACTCCATCTTATCAACCAGAAACTATTGTAACAACATCACCAATTCCAACAAGTCTTGCAACAACAACACCAAGAGCTTCAGTACCATCATTCGTTACGACCGTACCCAGTAACACAGAGATCAACAGAAATGATGAAGATGATGAAGAACAGGAAAATACTGGTCTAAGACGTAGAGCTTCAAAAGAAGATTTCTTTAACCATGGGTTAGGATTTCGAGGACGAAGACCAGCAATTCCTGGAGTATCTGAAGGTAAGATTATGCGTTCATTAATTATCATCATCATGTTTAACTATCATCATGTTTAACTATACTTACGAAAATAAAAATTTGTTTATGTTTTCGCATAATTTTAGTTCCAGCCGCAATTACAACTTCTACAACAAATACTCTTGATCCGCAAACTACTTCAAGACCTGAAACACCGCGTGGAAATCCAGGCTGGACACTTCGACGACGTCCAGGACATTGGCACGATGGCACACCATCGGGTCCATTTGCAAATCTATCTGAATCACCTATTTTTGATGATCAAGATAGACAAATAACAACGACAATAGCAGTTCCTACTACAACACCAAAGGCAGGAAGAAGAGGTAACAAAACTTTCTCTAAAGGAGCTGGTGGAGGATCAAAGATTGATGAATCAAGTGACAACGAAAATTATCCACCAGATTTCAAAGCTAGAATAGCTCAATTGGTATGATATCTATGCATGTTTGATTAATATATTGGTAAAAATGTATCTTCCTTGAAAGTAATTGTAACATTGCTTTTAATTTTAGCAAAAAACTGGCGGACCACCCAGAACACAAACTGAGGTAAGTCGATCTGTTATAATACATCAACCCTTGCAATTTAAGTCTATTTCTATGTTTAACTGGACTAACTGATATAACAAGGGCTGACTATATGCTATGGCTGACTTTTAACCATCCTTTTGACTGTTTTTTACATGGTTTGAGATAACACTAATAATTAACTTAATGTCGATCGCTTTCAATGCTCACCTGTGAAGTTAGCATGGCCACTCGAAAATTATCTGTCTATTCTACAATTTTCAAGAACAATAAATCATATTTTTAATTTCTATCTTGAAAGTTACTCTAATTTTGTAAAATTAAAATTATTTAAATAAATGTATATTAAAGNTTATGTAAGATGGACCAAGAATATTTTATTTCAAATTCAATTATCTTTCTTTATAAGTTCAAAAAGGTTTTTAAAAATATCTATAAGTTAATTTAAAAAACAAGTTTTTGCTTAGCTTAATATATTTTATATTTATTACATTACCTACTTCTGGCTAAAGTTGAAATGAAAATCACAAATTATTAGTAGGAATAACGCATCCTTTAATTTTAATAAATTATAAACGTACGCTTTTCTTTACGAACTGAAAAGTAGAAAATAGTTCGACTTCGTACGCATAACAAATATAAGAGTAGACCATGTAGGTCTTTATTTACGAAAAATACCAAAACATTTTACTTTTCAGTTCACATCACTACATTTTACTTTTCCGTCTTTTATTCGACTAAAATTGAACAAAATGTTTGATGTCTTCTTTTTCTTTCATATTTTATTTTCTGAAGCTTTTATATAAAAAAATCTAAGTTCTTAATTTGCCAACATAAAATGGCGATTGCAATGAATAAAACATATAAAGTGATTCTTTACATAGGAACCACAATTGCAAACCAGTTCAAATGTGACGGGTTCTGCAAGTGCAGATCTCGAACTCGCTCCCTCGGATAATGAATATCTTGTGGTCACACAAACAGCAGACCCTATTAGCACAACAACGTTATCATTACAAATTCCGAGTCTTTTGGAAGAGCAGCAAGTAAGAGAAACTTAAGAGAAAAGAGATTTATAAACTTAAAGTCACCGCTTTTTTGCAATCAAGTGTATAAGTAAAATACAATGTATCTGCTGATATATTCATTTTTTAGCTTCGTCCAGTTTCGTCTAGAGGATCATTTATCCAGTAATAATGGCTTTTATTTTTTTTAGGTATACTTTGTATTTAGCAGTATATGACCTTTTGTTTATTTTTTTGTTTCTGCATAAATTCTCGACGAAACGATAAACCCGCAATTCAGTAAATATTTTCAAATTGTAAATATTCCGCATTAAAAATATATATGTGCTTCTTTTATGTGTTTCATTTTTATCAACGATTACTGTTATGCACAAGTCTTTGTCATGGTTTTATAATTAAAATGGAATAGTTGTAATACAAAGTTATAATTTTAAGAACATTATTATTTTGAGTTGGTGGTCAATAAATTTTTTTTAATGTGATTAACAAAAATTGATGTTTTTTTTTTATTATCCATTAGTTTAAGGATATTTTTCAATTTTAGATTAAAAGTTAACTACACATTGGACCTTTCACTGATTTTCATCAGTCTCTTTTTTTCATAAAGATTATAACTTTTCAAATTTTCTATACAGCTATCATCTTTCTGAAATTTTTGTTTACAATAGTAAAATTTCATCGAATTCCGATTATGACGTGGACGATGATTTTCTTTATCGTTGCAAGTTTGGTTTATGTAAACACACATTCTGTTTTTCTCTATTCACTTAACGTTAGAATTATATTAGTAGTATTTTAGATAAAGTTTCATTAACGTATTAAATTTTTCAACGCAATCCATGAACAATTTTTAAATATTAAGAACTATTTTAAAAGAAGACAGCAGTAGTAAGCATCAGTAAATATTTATTAATTATTTACATAATACGTTAATGAAAATTCAAATAGCATGTGGTAAGACTGCAAGCCCATTTTAACAGTTGCTTTTGATGTCAAAAACGCCATTAAAGACTGGCCATTGGCATTACCACCCTAATAATAAAATATCGGTACGTAAAAAAAAGAATTAGCACAAAAAGGGAAAAAAATTCTTCTAAATTTTTTGTACGAATTTTGTGAGTTCACTAAAATTCTGACTGTTCTAAGTAAACGTATACGCCTATGCCAAAGGAAATAGAGTTGTAAAAAAGAGTCAGAAAATATCGTAGGCTCATGGGCTCACACGTACAAACTTTATTCCGTACCTTACGAACCGGTTAGCCGTTCACCATCGCTTTTGATTTCGGACTGCATGCGCAGAGAAAGTGCATGCATAATCATGTGTATGGTGGGCGCATATACTCTCGAATTTCGCAGTAGGCGTGGATCTCACATATGTTTTATCAATACATGCACACATGTTCATACACATCTTTACGTTGGTCAGGACACGAAAAACAAAATAGAAATTGGTAATAAGATGTCAACGACTTGTAAGAAAATTAAATTATAGATATGAAAGAAATTTTATATAATAACCAACAAAAACATTTGAAAAGTAAACGACCAAGAATTTTTTTATGTACTTAAGAAAAATTTCTTTACGTTATAACAGTGAGATCTTATTTTTTTAAAGGTTGAGAATACAATTAATTGGTATGATGCACTTCTACAAACATAAAGTAATTTTTATGTGATTAGACTTATAAGTTTCTCACTTAATATAAATTTTCGTATAAATTTCATATAAATTTTCTCACTTAGACATCTTATCTCATAAAACAACTGATACTTAAAAGTTAGACAAACTAAAGGTATGATCCATTCTTTTTTAATTACAAGCTCAAACATTGCATGAGCTTAATACAAATCAATGTAAATTGTCTTCCAATTACTTAAGCACTACAAGAGCGTAAGGTTTATTTTCTTTAATAAAATTTATTCTTGTATCAAATATCACGTATTGATTATTTTTCAAACGGATAAAGACGAAGTAATGTGAATTTAACATCAAAATAATGGTTAAATAGTCAAAAATGAAGCATATTTTATCACTGTTTCATGGATCTTATTATTGGCATTTTCTACAAATCTCTATGAATTAAGAAAGGTGTATTATAACGCACAAAATATTTATGCTCACACAAAAGTTCTAGTAATATCTAACGGTTTAGAAAATTTTTTCAATTCCAGGATTCGTTGACATAAAGAATGTAGTCCGTACAAAAAATCTTATTAAAATGTAAAGAGCTTAAGCATAGAGACTTGAAAACTTAACAAATAAGAAACGATTATCAATCAAAAACCGTTTCTGCATTTTTCTAAAAGTAATACATTCTTTATCTGTTGCAAAAATGTATTTTTTAAATAATTATAGCAAAAGTAACAAGTTTCAGTTAAAATATTTAATACTGTTCTGAAACAAAGACGACTTTTAAAATTTTCAAAAACAAATTTTCTTCGAGTACAAAGCATCTGTATTTTATACTGCTTTATATAATTCATACTCAGTTTATAGTGACCTGCTCTCCTTGTTTACTTTTTAAATGCACAGTAAAATTTTTAACAGTATACTTGATAAATAAATTTTAAGAAATAATGAGTCGTATAATATCGAACAAATAAGAAAATACACATGTGTATTTGCTCAATATTCATAAAGTTTTATATCTTTATTTTAGAAGCCTCTAAATCAAAGTCTCCAGGACACGTCTTGTTCTTTTATTTTTACATGTTAAATAAATATTAAGAACTATTTTAAAAGAAGACAGCANAATTTGAATATTTTATTTCAAATTCAATTATCTTTCTTTATAAGTTCAAAAAGGTTTTTAAAAATATCTATAAGTTAATTTAAAAAACAAGTTTTTGCTTAGCTTAATATATTTTATATTTATTACATTACCTACTTCTGGCTAAAGTTGAAATGAAAATCACAAATTATTAGTAGGAATAACGCATCCTTTAATTTTAATAAATTATAAACGTACGCTTTTCTTTACGAACTGAAAAGTAGAAAATAGTTCGACTTCGTACGCATAACAAATATAAGAGTAGACCATGTAGGTCTTTATTTACGAAAAATACCAAAACATTTTACTTTTCAGTTCACAAATAACAGTACGTTTTTGAAATATATATTAATAACTTATTACTATTTAGTCAGTTATAATATACAATTAAACTGAAAAGCCCCTAATATTTTCATTCTAATTCAAGTATTGATCATCAATGAAATTTAGTAAAGATAGGTGAGTACGGTAAGAGGAGCTACTGATGTGTTTCTAAAGAAATTTATGTGACCTTACTTTATTGGAAAAAAATTTGTGCCTTAAAAATCAAGAAGTTTTTAAATATTGAAACGTAATAAATTTTGAGCTTTCGTATTTCTTAATATAAATTATATCTATTTTGATTCAGATGTACGTTAACAAAAGATTGTTGTGGCCACATTTATTGTAGTGAAGGACATGCGTAATACAGACTTAAAAGTATCCAACTTTCAAGAACACTGAGTGTGAATACCTAGAAGCTAAGGATTATATCCTTAACACCAGAACTAATGAAGTTTAATTTTTTCGAAGTCTCTTAGCTTTACTTTTGAGTGGCATTATTACCATATTATAATATAAAATCCATGATGACCTGCGTAAAAATTCTAACAGCACTTTATACTTTAGATACTAATTTTTACAAGACTGACATACTATATTTTTACAAGTATTACCAAATACGGTCAAAAGTTTATCCAAAGTATCCAGACGTGTAGCAAACTATTTTTGCCAAACTTTGGTTAACGTTTGCCAACCTAAAGTGTGGTCCAAGTTTACCACATTTATGTCATTTTTACGTGAGGATCTTATAACTGATATAGATACATGCACTGATTATAAAAATAATAATTATGATATTAAAACACACACTGACATACATGTACATCCCTATGTATCATGGTTTTTTTGATAGGGCTTTCGGTACTCTTCTATAAAAGATGAGTGATGTCGTTCGTTTGCTCTGCTATATATTTTTTTTTTTTTTTTTTTTTAGTTACATTTTTTGTGCCCTAGTACTTTCCTCGCCAATTTTTTGGAGCCTCCGCATACCTATCGTATTAAAAGACTCTTAACTTGTCAATGATGGGGCCCAAATGTATTAAAGTTATTGTACGAGTCATCTACTACCAACAAAGAGTTATAGGAGCTTAGTGCTGATCTGTGATTAAAATATGTTATCTTTGATTTACAAGAATAGATTACAAGAAAATTTTTGTACTTTACATTGTATTGTCTTCCATATGTAAAATTTCTGTCACAAAAAAAGTGTTGAAATAATGTTATAGTAGGTTATTAATCAAGTACAAAAGTACCCATCCTACTACGATACGGATAGGCTGATATACATACATGCAGTTCCAGAAAAATAAGAAAATAGTTTTCCAGAGGTCTCTACTTGACAGACTTTTTTAATAAAAATGGAGACTTTAATTTTTCTTTAATGATAGTTATATGATTTGAGAGTTCTAAAATAGTTGTTAATCTTTTTTTAAAGGACAATTTCATAACGGAATACTTATGTTGCTGAATTTTTAAATAATATAAATTCATTTAAATAATTTGATTTAAAAATGCTCATTTTGTTTAGTAATTAACTAAGAGTAAAAATTAAATTAAAATTATTAACTTCGTAGAAAATCACCTTCTTAAAAAAAAGCTATCTGGTCTAACAAAACAATAATTTTGCATAAATGAGTGTAAAAATGCCCAATGTACTTATATTTTTTTTATGAAGAAGACTTCACCTTATTATTTAAGTTAATAGTATACAGCTTTCAAGGTCATTGAAAAAAGAAAACATACGTAAAATGATAGAATAATTTACTTACTTTATTAAAACCCTGAAAGTAATTACCTGCACTGGGATAATATTTTAATGAGTACCTTTTTTTAATA